GGACCGCTCGGCAAAATCGGGGTCATGATTTCGTGGCCTCGAGTCTAGTCATCTAGACACCGGGCACGCAGAGGTTCGACTCCCGTTCTCCGTACCTACGCCGCGAAGACAGGGTAGCGATTGCGCTACCGCGGCTGGGACACGACCAGCGTACGAAGCACCCGCTCCGAACCGTGCCGACACCCGCGTGCCAACCGTCCGACCGTCCCCGCCGACGCGAATACAGGGCCGAGACCCCGCATAATAAATGCGCGTTGTGTAAATAATTGTAAATACGTGTTCGTCCGTGCGTTTATAGACTAATGTAATAGGGCCTCCTTTCCAGGGAGGATACCTGATAATCGTTACTATAGAATAAAGGTAAATTACTGCCAGAAATCTCGAGGCACCGTTTTCTTCGATCCCGCGCCTTTCCCTTCCGCACGAACTACGTTTTAGCCCTGGCTCCGACGAGCTAGCCCGAGCGCTAAAATGGACGGTTGTCACATGACGCCCGAACTTTAAGCCATGTGACAACCGTCCGTTTTAGCGCTCGGGCTAGCTCGTCGGAGCCAGGGCTAAAACGTAGTTCGTGCGGAAGGAAAAGGCGCGAGATCGAAGAAAACAGTGACTCGAAATTTCTGGCAGTAATTTACCTTTATTCTATAGTAACAATTATCAGGTATCCTCCCTGGAATGGAGACCCTGTTACATTAGTCTATAAACGCACGGACGGACACGTATTTACAATTATTTACACGACGCGCATTTATTATGCGGGGTCTCGGCCCTGTATTCGCGTCGGCAGGGACAGTCGGACGGGCGGCACGCAGGTGTCGGCACGGTTCGGAGCGGGTGCTTCGTACGCTGGCCGTGTCCCAGCCGCGGTAGCGCAATCGCTACCCTGTCTTCGCGGCGTAGGTACGGAGGACGGGAGTCGAACCTCTGCGTGTCCGGTGTCTAGATGACTAGACTCGAGGCCACGAAATCATGACCCCGATTTTGCCGAGCGGTCCGATGTAGGATAGAGTTCTCACCGGAGTTCCGTGATGTC